AATAGATGCATCTATAGGCGCGCCGTCGACCCTCGGCAAGTGCACATTTACTTTCTGTTGGATCGGGCCGTCGCCTCGGTATGATTTGCGCATGGTATCTTTTATATATTGATGCATGAGGAATCTTAAATGATGACACTGCCTTTCATGGCTTAAGATGAACTGATTAAATGAAGAAAAGTAAAATCTTGAAAGTCCTTTGTAAATTGTTAAAAGTGTTTACCTGTTTTACAGCTTTGTGAATTAGAACATGCTATATGAATCCATGATTTCCCCACACATTTAATATATTATTATTGGATCGCTAGTGAGTGTCCAGGTTGACCATCTCGTCTCTACCTCTCCGAGGTTAGGCGGGATACTCACTGGGTACACGTTGATTACGTACTCATACTACACTTCTGTGCATTTTTGTTGCACAGGTATATGTTACTTTAGGTAGCAGCAGGGATGATTTGGGGACTTGGTGAGCCGCATTGTTCGAGACGACCCGCAACTAGAGTAGTCCCCTTCCAGTACTTTATTTATTGATTCTCTGTCCACTGTATTTTGGACAGACATTTGTATTTTATTTTCCTTATCAATAGTTGCTCATGCACTTGTGACACCGGGTTCTGGGATGAGTTTCTTTTTGAAGATGTGTATTAATAGTTAATTTCTTCATTTGAATTGAAACAGAGATTGTTTTATATATGAAAAATATTGTTTTATATATGAAAAATGGAAGTAAAACTCCTAGGTTTTCAAAGTTATAAAAGAGAATTTAATTGGTGATTTAGTTGGCTTGCCTGACAGCGGTGTCCGGCGCCATCACGACCCGTAGTGGATCTGGGTCGTGACACTCACATAGGTGATTTCTAAATATGTAATCCTATAGACACACTAGCTGGTCATATCCTGCCAGACTTAGCAAATCATTAAAAAGCTTTAAGCTTTATTGACTCATCAAAAAGCCTTAATGGTTTACCTTGATTTCTAAACATTGTCTTCATCAGGAGAATGGGTTGAGTTATTTGACAATGTTGAACCGCCATTCATAACTTTGTTTGATCTTTTTGAACC